TTTATAGGGAGGGGCAAATGCGAGAGGGACCCGGTGCCCTGGACGTGGGCTGGGGCGGCTCCAAGACGTTTCCTCTGCTCTGCATGAACAATGGAGCCGCGGAGCAGAGCGAGGCCGGGCCGTCCCCGCGGGGCCACGCACAGCGGGAGGATGTCCCCTTGCACGTGCAGGGGGATGCGCTGGCCTGGCTGCAGGAGCGGGTCTTGCTCAGCGTGGTGGAGAGGCCCGAGGCTCCGCACGGCCGGGCAGGCGGTGCCACAGAGCCCTTGGCCCCGCGCCTCCGCCTCGGCCTGCTGCCCTTCGCGCTCTGTTTCCCCTCTGCCGGAGGCACCGGGGTGCCGGGGGCTGCGCTCCGCTGCCGGCGCAGTTTCCCGTGTGTCCCGTGCCGGGGCCGCGCTTCAGTCGTGCCGCATTTTATTTGCCTTTTAAAAATTTTATTTGGCTCTTGTGATTCTGTTTTATGGTGGTTTTAATGGAGCGCTGCTGTGTTCCAGCTGTCTCCGCGGGTGCGAGGTGGGGGAAAGGGACTTGGCCGCGAATGTGGGCCAGGCTGAGGCCTCCATGCGGTGAGGTGATACTGGGGGTGCTGGAGGAGGGTCAGCACCTGCAGGGCAGGCCCTCCTAGGGACAGCTGACCTGTCTCCAAGGATCTGCCTCTCTGAAACCGCTCGCCACTTCTCTGCACGTGTGCCGGCTGCCTGCAGCACCTGCAGCGGGCGCCAAGTCCCTGGTGCCAGCAGAGCGCCCTTGCTCCCCAAGCCCTGTCCCTGCTGCTTCCCCGGCAGCCAGGACACATGAGGAGCCAAGGAGGGGACGGCCTGGTGACGGTCCCAGCCAGGGAGAGGCGCTGGCGCTTCCCTCCTGGCATCCCCCCGGCATCTCTCCACGGGGCCGCGCTCTGCTCAGTGCCCTACTCTGCCGTGGAGGAGCCGGAGGCAGCGCGGGGGGAGGAATGGATGTGAATAAGAGGCTAAGAAATGACTCAATGGGCGCGGTGGGGGTGGGCATGGCAACACAAAATATTTGAATCGGAGCGAGGTCGTCTGGGGTAGCGTGGCGGGTAAAAATAGCCACAGGGAGTACGAAGGGAAACGCTACCGTTGCCGTGGCGCTTCGCGGGCGCCCTCCTGGGAGCAGCGGAGCCCTGGAGCGGCCTGGCCTGCCCGCGGCTGCAGAGGTGACGCCGGAGTAGGGGGCCACGTCCCTCCCGCCTCGACGGGGGCCCTCACCTTCCCACTGTGTTTCCTTGCAGCCGAGAAGGTGTCCTCGCTGGGCAAGGACTGGCACAAGTTCTGCCTCAAGTGTGAGCGCTGCAACAAGACGCTGACCCCGGGCGGGCACGCTGAGGTAACAGCGGGCTGCGTGCTCTCGCTGGCACTCGGCGACTCACCCAGCGCATATTGAGTTACTGCTGCGGCCAGGGACCGGGATGAAACCCTGCTCATGAGCACTGCGTGCTGGAGGAGGCGGCCGCAGCGTGGGGCCGTGCGGGGAACATGCGCCTGGGCAGGCCCCAGTGCAGGGGGAGCCACCGCTGCACCGAGGGCTGTGGCAGCATGTGGGACTGGCAGCAAGTGCTCTGCTTCTGGGAGGTGCCGCCGCGCAGCCTTGCGCCCCGCAGGGTGTCTTTCGTGCCATGGTGTCACCAGCTCTTTAGCACTGTTGAGGCACGCGCCACAGCTGAGCGGCGGCGGGGACAGCTGGCGCGGGGAGCGAGCAATGAGGGCTGTGCCACGGGGCGCTTTGGGTGGCTCCGTGCTCCTGTCCCGCGCGGCCGGGGGAGTTTGCTGTGCCTCCATATAAGGCCGGATTTTGCTCCCGGGGCGGATGGCAGCCAAGCCCCCCTTGGCAGCGCCCAGAGCCGGAGCGGGCCCTTCCTGGCTTTCCCACACTCCACCGAAACCAGCTGGCCTGGCCAGCCGCGGAGGTGTCGCGGGGAGCCCGGCTCAGCGTTTGCCCTCTCTCCCAGCTGGCTCCTGCCCCGCGCACTGACGTTTGCGCCTTGCAAGCGTGCACAGCTGCTTGCTCCCAGCCAGCTGCCTGCGCTCACCCTCCTCTCCCCCAGCACCCTGGGGGCTGCAGCTGCCGCAGCCTGCAGGTGCCAGGCAGGGCCTGGGGGTGCCCTGGGAAAGCTGCTGCGGGGGTGGCCTCATGTTGCCTCTCTTGTCCCCAGCATGACGGGAAGCCCTTCTGCCACAAGCCCTGCTACGCCACGCTCTTTGGGCCCAAAGGTAGGTTGCCGCTCGCCCACCCTCGATGGGCTCACAGAACGTGGGGTGGGGGGACAGGAAGGGGGACAAAGGCAC